ACGCACTACAGTACCTAAGCCAGGAAAACTTTGTAGCAACTTGCCCTTGTACTTTTCGGTACTTAACGCAGTGCCTGTCCATCAATATTTGACACAAAAATTGTAGCAGCAGAGGCAGACAGAGCTAGGAAGTTAACCCTACCTCTTGGCCAGTTAGAATTTACTGTACACATCTGAGCTAGTCAAAACGCAGCTGCTGCACATTTTCCTTTGAGCTGTTTAATGATGGTAATGCCATAGCTACGTAATAAAAAGTACTAAGGTGCAGAACCAGTGGCGAAGCGATATTTTTAGCAAGTAGAAAATAGCTTGTGTAGGTGCAAACGATGATTAGCTAGCTAAAAATGGCAAGAATTGAACTTGCAGCAATGGAATTTCACGTTTTCATGATTGCCATTGACTGCTGAACCCACTAGGCAGAATGTGCACCATTTTCTTACTGATGCCTGCATGTTTATGTCTTTGCAAGTACTTGTGCGAAATATCACCTCTATGATGAAAATGCATGCATTTCAGTTGTCGAAACACAGTGACGGACCTTGCCACAGTAAACACAATGCGCCCTAACAAGCGATTTTAGAGAAAATGGCTTTTTAGCTAGTGTCCCTTTGGCAGGTCAAAGCCTGTGATGCCTGAGTCACAGAGAGACGAACTTACAAACCATGTACCATATCTCCCATACCATATGCCTGGTGTGCTACTCTTATAGGGAATGTGGCATTAGGTTACTAAAAGCAAGCATTCTTTCACTGTGCCCCTGTTGTTTTTAGTAACATTTCTACTTTTATACTGCAACATTCCCTTTAATTAAACTCCACCTGGACTGTATAACGGTGTTAGTTACTCAGTAGCATGACTGTTTTTGTATTATAAGTTCTGAGTATTGTAATGGTAAATGTTTAATACTTCACCTAGGCAACAATATAGAGATTGTGTGATGGGGTTGGGGGTGTCAGCGTGCTCAAATCTGTTCATTAACCATGCTTCATGTACCCCATTCCTATCTTGTCTCTTTTCTTTTTATGCCATCCTATATGCCTCTTTTAAAATTGGCAGGATTTTTAATTTACTGGTATACTAAGTACTACCGTACTTAGTGAGAGGCCCTTGAATGGTAGTTAGGGTTCGCTTGGCCTAGTCTGCAGACTCCCCTCCGCACAAGTGAGCTATTTTAAGTGTGACCTATCTACCCATGGAATATAAGTGGAGGTAGAGCCTGGTACGTGGCATGTTTCATTCAGGGGTAGAAATGTGGTATAATGAAAAAGGGCACACTAATGATGTACGTACGTAGGTGCACTAAGTTTGCAATCATGTGCAATTTTACATACATCAGTCTGGAGTCGTGGCTTGGTTGTTGTCGCTCTTGCACGACGATCGTCTTTCTATTGCCCTACCGTGTTTGACTCTAGCTCCCAAGCTTACACTTCATGCTTGGTGTTGTACTGTACATGGGACCCACTGGACTCGCATGCTGTGCTGCTGCTTGGGCAGCCATCACGCAAAACCTTCCAAAAACACCACTTGTGTGCTAGGTCGTGCAGTTCTGTTGCACATTGCTAAACAAGGTTCGTGTCGATTTTGCTGTATTGTAACTGGCAATTTCACAGTATGCATATGCGTTAGTAATCTCTTGGAACAGGGATTGTTGTTTAGTCCGTCTACAACATTCCTAACGCCGATTTTGTTTTTCAAAATGGCGTCTCTGTCCCTCCACTAAGAGATTTCACTCGCATTGTGGGGAGCCATAAGTGAGTCCTAGCCTTGGCTCCCCACAATGCGAGTGAAATCTCTTAGTGGAGGGACAGAGACGCTATTTTGAGGAACAAAATCGGCGTTAGGAATGTTGTAGACGGACTAAACAACAATCCCTGTTCCAAGAGATTACTAACGCATATGCATACTGTGAAATTGCCAGTTACAATACAGCAAAATCGACACGAACCTTGTTTAGCAATGTGCAACACAACTGCACGACCTAGCACACAAGTGGTGTTTTTGGAAGGTTTTGCGTGATGGCTGCCCAAGCAGCAGCACAGCATGCGAGTCCAGTGGGTCCCATGTACAGTAGAACACCAAGCATGAAGTGTAAGCTTGGGAGCTAGAGTCAAACACGGTAGGGCAATAGAAAGACGATCGTCGTGCAAGAGCGACAACAACCAAGCCACGACTCCAGACTGATGTATGTACAGCTTAACACAGTTTTTCCACAGTGAAACGTGCATTATAATGCTATGTTTTCCTCAGATTGCTTAATAGTTCACTCCACTCAAAAAAATGTTAGTATATCTCTTGTTTGTGATGTGTAGGCTGTCTTTGAAGGGTGCTCAAGAAATGCAGGGAGAAGGAGAGGAGGCTGACTTCCTGACTGCAGTGAGGGGTAACCCTAATGCTCCTCTGCTACGAGAGATACTGAGGGCCAAGAAGGATTTGCTAACTAAGATGAATCGCATGTACAACTCTTTTCTTGGAGACACTCAGCAATGTAATGGCACTTAGCACTTATGATGTGATGGTTTCTCGTATATACTCCTCCAGTGTATAGTGACGAGGTGAGGAGGACTCCTTCTGTTGCAGAGTCTTTAACTACACCACGTCGCCTTTCCCTTCCATCTCCTGTGTCCACATCAGCTCAGTCTCTGCAGCAAGACTTTCGCCGGGGCCAGCATGGGAGCCTTTTTTACTACTTCTAGTACACCCAATTCCCCTCCCCGTTAGTTTTTTTCTGAGTGTATGGTCCTAATATTCAGTGCATATACCTACATAGACCAGTTTGTAGTACAATTCACTTCGTTTGAGTTACCGTTGCTCACTAACTAGTTCACTCTGTCAATAGAGCTTTGCCCCTGTTGTGTAATTTGGGGCATTAGTGAAAACACAGCTACAGCAATTCCATGCTTATGTGTGTTTGTTAGGTATCGAAAGCCATCAAAAAGGGGATATAGAATATGTTTGTTAGCATCGCACAACACGTAGTCTCTTATGCATCAGATATTTATGTATAGCTACTCCAGTAGCCTTATTCCCAGGCTCTCCCTCCTCCGAGTGCACAATTTTCATTGGGTGACCTTTGACCCCCACGCATAAGAAACGGAGGGAGAGCCTAGTTCAAATCTTGATATCGAAGGTAGAAGATAGGGTAGAAAGTATCTAATCGACGTGGGCACAGCAATCAGTTTGCCCACACGATTCGCTTCGCGACAGTCCGCCATGGTTCAGAGATCAGACCGCGGGTAGATGGCACCTTGTAACGGAGTCTGGTGTGTGGGCACTACTGTCAGCTTCTAAGTCCTATTTTAGGTCGTGGCAGTAAAAGAAGGTACATAATATGAATGCACACCTACACCCTTACTCCCTTGTCGTGACAAGATTGGACCAGATACATATACCTGCCTTGGGGAATACCTGCTTTTTCCACCACTGCTGGAGTAGTTGTGACATTTGTGAGCAAATTATTGCATTGCAGCTGGTCATGCGTGTGGTTTTATTTTTATCTAGTATTATAGAGATGGCAAATGGTTTTTTTTTACTCTGAATGTGTGTGTGTGTGCGTAAAATTGAATCTCGCCTTAAATGTGGGACCCACGTAAAAGTATGTTATGTGCAAGCTTGTCGTCATCTAAGTTAAGTATGCAAGTAAGTACGATGTTGTGCAAATTTTAATAAAGTGATGAATGTGGTGGTGAAAAAAGGGTCACAATGGCACCATATAGGGATGAGATTGTACGAAGCACGATTTATGATCAGATTGTGAATATACTGATACTCCCAAGCCGATCACACAATCCCTTTATTGTTGTCTGGTGGGCCACTCTCATAATTATATTATTGTTGTGGTTGCACCATAGAATGGCACGTTTCCACTCTGTTAGTAATAGTACAACATTATTAACCCTCAGTGCGCATGTGTGTCTGTCTGGTCTGTGTGTGTGTCGATGCTTATTCTGGCACTACAAGCTACGAGGCAGCCCATGAGCGATATCAACGTTCAAAATTATGCGAGCCTGAAGTATAAAATGGCCAATGATTGCATTCGAGAGTAATGCCATGAAAACAACCGAAAAAGCCAATATGCATAATCGCACTGGCTTATGCACTTTCTCTGTGTCAGGTAAATCGGGTTAACTTTGGACACGGGGTAATACACGGACATAATTCGCTATTCAGACACAAGAGAAAGATTCGGATATATTTCACTTGATTACTACCTACCAAAGCGCTAACAAATCTTCCTTGCGTTTTTTTCGCAGCGAATTATTTCGAGGCCGGTGCAACGCCCCATGTCCGGAGTTACCCCCATTTACCATACCTTGGAGGCAGAAGAAGTCAAATCAGAGGGTGTTTATCGATCCTGCATGCTACCTACTAGTGCAGCTAGCCCATGTCACTCTCCGCGAGAGCTAGACTATGAGAAACGCATACTCTTAGTCCAGCTTGGTGCCACGCATGCACAGTGTGCCGAGGGTTTGCACTTTACTGCTTTTCATTGTCACCTGTTTTTTTAAGCTATAGCTCCTACTGAAACACATAATTGGGAGTGTCTCATGCTTCACTAAGCAACAATGTATGTATTGTGTCATGAGCTCGGAGTTAAGTGTGCTTATAATGTGTACCATGCTATATAATATATGTATATATCCCATTCCTATCTTGTCTCTCTTCCTTTTTATAACTTTCCTATATTCCTCGTTTCAGCAAGTAAATTAATAATCCTGAGTTGATTTGAGATGGCTGAGTTGATATTGTTGCCTGGTGTGCCACTCGTAAACTCCATTTTGGACCCTTGGTTACTCAGTAGCATGACTTCACTGACATTTTTGTATTTTCAAGCTGTAAGTCCTGACTATTGTAATGTTTAATGTTTAATACTTCACCTAGGCAACAACATAGGGATGTGATGGGATCGGGGGTGTGAGCATGCTCAAATCAGTTCATTAACCATGCTTCATGTATCCCATCCCTATCTTGTCTCCCTTTCTTTTTATACCACCCCTATATGCCTCTTCCTTGAAATTCGCTTGATTTTTTACTTACTTGTCTCCACTCATTTTTATATATTGCTGTTTGCCATTAATTTCATTCGTTCCGTGTCACCTTCCTGTCGGAAACCTCCTGGTTTTTACTCATAAACGGTAGCTTGGTTTTCGAAAGGGGGAAGAGCTTTGCCCTCATTTTCCCCCACACTACTGCTTGGCCTTCCCGGGATCCTGAAACACCACCTTCTTTGGGGAGAAACGCTTGTATCGAAGATCTAATTTAGGAAGGTAAGCTGACCAGGACAAGTCCGGATTTCTAGATTACAAGTGAGGTCCCAAAGGGGAAAAGACATAAATACGGCCCAATTGCAGAAGTGGAGCTAGAAGAGGCCAGAAGAGTGTCGAATTTGGGGCAATACAACGTGTAGAGACCAAGTGTTCTCAAATTGAATGCTGGTGTCTGTCTGTGATTGTGAATTTGGTAGGTTTTAAATGTAGGTGACAGCATTCTATTTTAAGTAGGTGTAAAATATTTAACGTCACTTTTTGTGCGCTTGGAAAATTGAACTGTTCGCACTTGTTCTTTAAAAACCCGTAGCATTCATTCTAATAGATATGATAAAATTGTGCTGATATGCTCCCGCTCAACCAATTCTAGTAAAGTGCTAGGGATTTTGCAACAACGTTATTTTTCATTGCAGGCATACGCACTTGTTTGCTGAAAGATTACCTTTTGGTGCCAGGTGCTAAATGGTCTCATTTGAAGCAGGGAGATGAAGTGGTGCTGACAGGGAGACTGGAAAGTGGCTGGTTCCGCTGCCTTGCCCACACAGATGTGGGGGCCACAGAGGAGGGAATGGACATCTTTCCTGGCTATATCCACATATCTGATGACAACTGCGATAGTAGGCCATTACTTTTGTAACTACGTATGTAGCAAACGGAAATTGTCTCAGGCTCGCTTAGACATGAACTGCTTAGTTTAATCTCTTTTTTGTTAAACAATTTTGTGTGGTTCTGGCTCTCTGATTCAGGTCTACCAGATACACCATCTCCACAACTAGATAGTGCTGACACCCCTCACCTATCCAGGGGCCTGTGAAGGAGTGACTGACATGTTTATTTCAGATCCTGAAAATACTGTGAGCAAGCAGCCAATCTCTTGTAAATTCCACCATTTTTTGTACTTAGCTATTGGACATGTGCACAAGGCAGCTCAAGGATTTGGGAAGCAGTAAACATGCATTCAACTTAGCATCGTATATGTTCAGTGTACTGTGATACTAGCGCAAAATAAGACAAATCAACAATGCTACATAGTAAATGACGTGATTTTGGTTGAGCACGATAGTAATAATATTCATGTCCTTTCCCCAGGATAAGATACTTGCAATTTACCATCATGTGATCAGGCCAGTGAGTCACGTGATACAGACACTAGACAGTCACATGATCAAAGTGTAGTGCTCCAGGGGGAAAGTCCACGTTCAATGCGTGTAGGGAGAAGTTATTCATACATTGCTGCAACACAGACCAACCCCGAAAGCAGTCTTTTGGGTCTACAAAATGCACGAAGATCACTGTAAGTTCAGTATTTTCTGTGCAAGAAATATTGTTTACATTCTTAACCGTCGTTGCGTATCCACAGCAAGGGTTATTAACCCTCGGCGCGCATGCGCAGCTAGGGTTACAGTACTTGGTTTGTCCGTCTGTCCGTCCGTCTGTTACCACGTTTTCTGCCACACGCGTAACAATCAGGTAAAATAGCAACACCAACGGGTTCAGCGCTACACTGGCTTGATGTTTAAAATGCCGATTTTCGTAAAAGTGCCACGTTCAGAAGTTACGGCATGAAAACAAGTGAACAAGCCAATACGCTAATTAGCACTAGCTTACTTGACCTGATCCGCTTGCTCTGTGTACCTCGGAGACACAGAAGTCACAACGAAGGGCGTGTATCAACTCCGCATGCTATCTACTACTGTAGCTAGCCGTGTCAGACTCTCCGCGAGCTACTAGCGGGAGATCACAAGTAAACGCAGCCAGCCATCAATTAGAGGTACCGCGCATGCGCAGTTCGCCGAGGGTTTGCGCGCACTTTAGTGTTTTTCATTGTATTTGTGTGTTTGTCCATCTGTCTACATGCTTTTTCGGCCACAGCACACAACAAAGTGACCAAAAAGTGATACAAAGATGTTCAGTGGTACATACCTTTTATACCAAGACCCAACATCCCTGATAATAACTTAGTTGCTTAAACTTCAAGTCACCGTATCAAATCAGGTCTTGCATTTTATGAGTATTGAGTAACCAATATAGTTAACAATCACTGACATCTAGTCCTCATAACCCTAACCCTTGGCACTGTTGTTGTTTTATTTGACATTGTATGTAAGATTCTTGACGGCAACCTCCTCTATACAACTTGTTAACTCTTGACACACATAGTGTATAGTATTTCAGTGGGCAAAGACTGCAGAGTGTTGTGGGTTGGGATACCACACAAGGCAGTTGCTATTCTGGGTGTAGTTTTGCTTTTTGCCTTTCGGCCTCATTGATGAATTGAAACTGCTACTCACACAGCGCCATGCCTAGAGCCATGACTAAGAGTCTCTTTTGGGAGAGAAAGGGATACATCCAGTGTGCATGATAGGAGAATGGTTTCAACAAGATTTGCAAATACTAAAACACATTGCCCATCTGAAGTATGTACACGTTACAGAGTACGCGAGTCTTCAGTTCTTTAGATGGCAAGAGAGTGTCGTCAATGAAATGCATGAGCTGAATTGCTCCAGCTTAGGTGTTGTTCAACTAACACACAAAGAACTGCAAGACTATACGTTTGGGAGAGCCCCACAATCCTGCTCTACAGGCAGTGAGGTTCTGTAACCAGTGTCAACAACTTGATAACGAGGTAGAAAGGTGAGGCAAGTCAACTACACCCAGGACAGCTCTTTGTTTTCCGGGATAAAAGAAGAGCTGCCCTGGGTGGGATTCGAACCCTCGATACTCTGCTTTCTAGGCGAGCATTCTACCAACTGAGCTACCAGTGCCATGTTATGAATCCTCGTCACGCATGCACAGCAAGGGTAAGACTACTTTGTTTGTGTCTGTCTACGGCTAATCCGGCAACGAGGCAGTCTACCAATGGCTTCAAAACAACGAAAGCACGAAAAAATACTTTCCCGAAACTACCAAGAAAAAACCAATGAAAAGCACTGAAGTGCAAACCCTCGGCGAACTGTGCATGCGCGATACTGCTAATTGATGGGCTGGGCTATTTGTACTCATGGTCTCCCGCTAGTACCTCGAGGAGAGTCTGACACGGGCTAGCTACAGTAGTAGATAGCATGCGGGAGTCGATACATGCCATTCGTTGTGACTTCCTGAGCCCCCAAGGTACACAGAGCGAGCAGATCAGGTCGCGGTAAGCCAAGTGAGGTTATGCATGTTGGCTTTTTCGCTTGTTTTCACGGCATATCTCTCGAACGCAGTCGTTTCAGGAAAATCGCCACAAAGTTTCTGACCTTCATTACCCGTTAACGAGGTAGTATGGTTTGTGAGACGGAAAAAACATTCGAGAAGTGGATGTTGAGTAACAGACAGACAGACAGACAACCCAACTACTGTTGTAACCCTCGCTGCACACATGTTGATAAAACCACCCTCCATACCAGCTTGCATAACTTTGGGAAGATTAGTAGCCTAAAGATTAGCAGATACACAGAAACAACTACAGACGCCTTTGAACAAACTTATGCAGCTTTCTCTGAATTTGAAAGACTGATGAAATGTATAATACAATCATTAGGGAGAGCTGTATGAGTTTTCAGTCAACTGATGATGTGTGACAGTGTTATTATGAGGGTTAGCAGCGAGAGAGGGAGGTTTAAATAGGTGAGACACTCTGTAATGGCGTGAGCAGCTTCTCTGTCAGACAGAGCCACTTCACTTAGTCTGTGTTCATGTCTCCTTATCTGACTGTTGGGAGAGAGGGAGTGAGGGTAATGAAGTAAGAGAGGGATTATACATGTATATTATAGAACATGTGGGTGTTAGGATAAATGTACTAAAAGGTGAAGAAACAAAGCAGGGAAGAGGTAGTGGAGGGAGCCATTCGACACAGGTTTCTGAGGACAAGAGCAGCTGTCACACGAACTGCCTTTGTCAGAGGGGACTCCACTTCATTCTGGAGCCAAAGAAAACCTTCCTTACTTCCTCCTCTCCCCCCCTCTCTCTCTCTCACACTCTCTTACCTCAAGAGGAGGACAATGTTTCAGTTTTGCGAGAGTGACTGCCACAGAGGGTGGAATGGGCTTGGGACCTGGACTACAATGATGGGTCTGCACCAAGGAGAATAAATGTCATAAACTTACTAATTATAGGGTAAAAGTGGGCACTATCTAGAATGGTGGCCAATATGGACAGGTGCTAAGTGGGCATTATTTAGAAAAGCAAAGTGGGCATTATTTGGAACTCCACCTCCAGATGTTCTCAGTGGGGTGGTGTTGCAGCCGGCCCAGTGACAGGGAGACGGGGAGAGGGAGGAGAGAGGAGAGATGTGGGAGTTGACAGCATGGTGCAACAGGTCACACCAGGAGTACCTCATACTGTGGGAGGAGTTAGAACAAACCTCTATAAAGGACACTAAGTTACTAATACTATGAATAGACAAACATCAGTAAGATTAGTCCTGTTGTGAAGGGATTTTCAGATACACTCAACTTCATTACTTGGTTACAGTTTACAGGACTTCAAAAACCAGTTATAATTTCGGTCTTGATTTGAAAATATGAGAATTGTAGAACCCATTTTTTTAATTCTGCTCCCACTGATATCATAATCTTACATCACTAGCTCTCACCACAGGGTTCATCTGGTGATCTGGTTCATTCAGTCTACTGAGATCCAAGAGTGGAACCCTGTAATGAGGGACACCAAATTGAAAATGAAACCAGAGATATTAGTTACTATACTCACCCTTCAGGTAGAGTGGTAGTGACTGTTCTCCTGTACGGCTGAACTTGTTTGACCTTTTGAGAGAGAGAGAAAACTAACAATACACAACATCAACACAATGTGACTGAAAATTGAGATGCACAGAAAATTCTTGATAAAAGCACACCTGTTTTTCTGGTTTATCCCCTGTTTTCTTGTGACCTTCCTGCCAGGCCTGTTTCTTGGTGGGTAGCGGTTTCTGTCTCTCCTTCCTTTGTTCCTTTCCCTCTTTCCCTCTCCCTCCTCCTTTCTCTCCCTCTCTCTTCCTCTCCACATTACTCTCTTTCAGTGGTACTGTCTTTAGCTTCCCTGTAATGAGAGAGAGAGAAGGTGGGGTAGGTTTAAATGCAGACACTGTGTTTGTTGTATGTTCTTCAAAAGGCATTCAGACTGCTATCAGTACTTTGCCATCCTAAATACACAATTACTAGGAATGCCCACGCACATATTTGCCTCGCGCCTGCCAGCCAATGCGTAAACAGTCCGACTGAGGCCGCTCATGCGCGCGCTCTACTGACTGCGCGCGAAGCCAGACTTCTTACGAATCTGTGCGCACGGCGGAAGCTAGATTTCCTACGAATGACGGAAGTTACACTTCCTTTTGGTGACTAATTTACATTCCTAAGTGTGACTAATTTACATTCCCTAAGCGTGACTAATTGAGCGTGACCGAGCGACACGTACGTACGGTACGTATATGCGAGAATACAACCCGGAGTAGTAGCCTGCGCTCGGCAACCATGAAAGAAACTAGAACTTTTTTCTTGGTTGTGCTGCATTGTTTGCACTGTACATGCAGTTTACCTACGGTATAAATTGGGATCAACATAAGTCTGACCTGAGTCAATGTAGGAGTGTTTCTGCATCAGTTGGTGTGTAGACGGCAGCAGGAGACTGCCTCCTACTCTGCCAGGCAGGAGCTCCAGAACAGACCTCTTCTTCCTCGGGGCGTGAGGCGTACTAGACAATCCTTGGCTACCCGTCTTTCTCTGTGACGACTCTTCCTTTGACCTACTGTCCGTCGCAGTGGTAGGAGGTCTGGGTCGCTTCCCGCTAGTAGCGAGAGCTGCGCCGGGAGAGCGAGGAGATAGTTTAGGTGAGGCTCCAGGTTTTTCTTCTCCCTCGCCGCGCCGTGCGGCTCCGAGTGGTAGAGGCGGTGGTTTGTAGACACGCTGCTGAGGTACACCGTAGCCCGCGTACTGCCAGGGAATCTTTAGCTTCTGAGCCATCCCCGAGTAGTCAGGAGTGGTGGCTACGTGCTGCGCGTTATTTAGAAAACGTAGCTACTGCGTTTGCTTGTCTGTCAGTAGCTCCGTGGAGACAAGGAAGACGATTTACTGCGAAGACAGGGAGGAAGAAAGTGTAGCGAACCCACAATTTCTGTTGCTTTGGATCTCCGTTTCGCTTAGTTTGGAAGTCTTTCTAACATTATTATAATCCTGCTGTTTGGCGCGCGGGTAGTTTCCATGGCAACCACACTTGAGCGCATGCGCAGTAGGTACAGCAACTACGTGCCGTAATAATGCGACCTGAAATCACATTGTAGAATGTAGGTGTATGGTAAAAACGTGTGTATAATATTGAGCCCAACTTGAGCCTTTTTCTACAATCAGTACTAACAAATATATAGACAGTATGCAGCTACTTGACATACAACTCAACCAGTTCCACTGCTATGTTGTCCTGTGTTATGGGGTCATCGAGACACATTCTCAGCTCAAAGTCATCACTAGTTGTCTGGTTGAGGGTTTTGGTGAAATATGGAGGATTGTGGAAAGAGCAACATGTACTGGTGGAGTGACAGTCTTCACCATCCCAGAGAGTGTCAGTGGAGTGGAGTCTGTTCCATTCTGTGTTGTTCCAGTACCCAGGATACACATACCCTGACTCACAGAAGTAATCCTCTCCAACAAATGGTGGGATGGATGTAGCTCCATTGTCACATGGACAGTTCCATACTTGGGATCTTGTATAATTCTCCACTGCTCCATTAGCAAATGTCCAGATGTGTTGTCGAGGACTGCCATGCATTACAACCACACCACAGACATAGATACTGTCAATTGTAGTTTGTCCACCTCTGTTATACCCATAGAAGCCATCAGGCAGTCCCCACTGGTAGGCTCTGATCCTGCCACACACCTGACTGTATGGTCCTCCACTGACAGGGAAGAAGACTGAGTCACAAGTCCTAAATCCAGTACCAACTCTGCCACAAGTTCTCTTGGAGTATCCAGTGAGCTGCCAGCCAGAGGGACAGTTGGTGTTGAGGTCTGTCATATCCAGGTATACTGCACGCCTCCAACCCCATGTTTTGCCACACATTGCAGTGGTTGTGTTACTGACACCATTTAACTCAGTCTTGACATCATTTAAATCATCTCTCATTGATTCATTCAGAGAACTCAGTCTAGTGTCAAGTTTCTCAACCTCTTGACTGAGGCTTGCCATGTCAGACTTCATATTCTTCATGTCTTTCTGCATAGTCTCCGAAGCTGGTCCTACAACTTCATGCACAGCTGCAGCAATCCTTACAACTGCAGCAAACACATCCAGTATTTTGCAGGGCAAAATTGTGTTGCCAAGTATTATCTATTCCCTTACCATCACATTGAGACTGTCCCAGCTGTACATTAGACAGTGTCACTAGACACAAGACCAGCAGAAAAGACCTGTTCATCTCAGAAGGCGTTCAGGCTCCCTGCAATGCATGCACCACTACAGCCAAGCTAACGATATATGTACAAGATAACCCTGGCTAAACAGTTACAATAACATAGGTAAGCTAAAGAACCACATTTGCAATCACCCCATGCTGATAAATCCACCCTCCATACTAGCTTGCATAACCACTACAGCCAAGCTAACTATACAAGTGGAAAAATCATTTCTTCAAAATGAAAGGGGGATATAGGGATGGCTTGAAGCACCAAAAAGGAACAAACAAGGGGTCATTCATTACACAGCAAAGTTGCACAAAGCTACATGACACCATCCCTATATCTTTGTTTTATTGTTTATAAGCAAACTTTCCCTTGAGCTAAATATACATGCAAGACAACCTCTATTGCAGAGCCGTATAACAACAAAGATATAGGGATGGTGTAGCTTTGTGCAACTTTGCTGTGTAATGACCCCTTGTTTGTTCCTTTTTGGTGCTTCAAGCCATCCCTATATCCCCCTTTCATTTTTAAGAAATGATTTTTCCACTTGTTTCCACTATTTTTAACTGCTTATGACAACACTGCATTTTCAGTCACCTGATGTTCATGGGTATATGTTGTAGAGATAACTGATGAAAGCAGTAGCTAATGGGCTGCTGCGCCTAAGCGGGGTGTACGCAGTGTCTCCAACAAGGACGCAATTAGGTTGTGGCACACGGTGGCGATTTCATGGGCAGGCTTCAGTAATCAGATTACTATTAGCTACCCGGGGACAAAGAATGAAGGCCAATTTGTATATACGCCCGGTAGCTCTATAAGGCTCGCGTAACCCGGCGCAGACTGCCACCTGCAAATCAACAGCTAAAAGCAAGGTAGCCAGTTTAAATGTGTATACTGACTTACAGAAGGCGCTGGAGGATGAGAGGTCCTCTGCAGAGGCATCCTGGCTTTTTCTCGTGGAGCAAGAATATGTAATGCGCGCGCACCGCATTGGAAACGCCCTCCTCGGCGCATGCGGCTCACTGATGCTGAGTTAGCAGCAAAAATGGCGTTGTTCAGTGACTACCGTGGAGGAGCTCAACGATCTACCGTAGTGACTTGCGGCAAGAAAGAGACGATCGCTTGATGTCCGTGCACACCTCTGGCGAATCCGGAAACGTTTGATGGAAAAATCAGCACTTTCTATTTTCGGTAACGAGATAGCGGGTTTACTGAAGAAGAAACCGGAAGATGAAGAATGATGATGATGATGATGATGACACGAAAATCGTGAAATCGCGTAAGAGCCAATTCTCTCGTGGGGAACTGAGGGCAAGTAGGAAGTCTTGGGGAGTATGTATAGCTAGGTATTGGCCTGTAGACTATTGCTAGTGATTTTCAAGCAATGGTGAGTCTTTCTCGCCAAGTTTTGAGGCGTTTTGTACGCGGATCACGTGAGATTTCACCCGTGTCATCCCTATATAGAGCGTCTACCGACGCTCTGATATGTACAAGATAGCCCTGGCTAAAAAGTTACAATAACAGAGGGAAGCTAAAGAACCACATTAGGTTGCACTATACAATCTTCCAATGTTGATAAAACCACCCTCCATACCAGCTTGCATAACTTGGGGAAGATTAGTAGCCTAAAGATTAGCAGATACACACAAACAACTACAGACACCTTTGAACAAACTTATGCAGCTTTCTCTGAGGTTGAAAGACTGGTGAAATGTAATAATACAATCATTAGGGAGAGCTGTGTGAGTTTTCAGTCAACTGATGATGTGTTATCATGAGGGTTAGCAGCGAGAGAGGGAGGAGGAGAAGGAGGGAGGTTTAAATAGGTGAGACACTCTGTAATGGCGTGAGCAGCTTCTCTGTCAGACAGAGCCACTTCACTTAGTCTGTGTTCATGTCTCCTTATCTGACTGTTGGGAGAGAGGGAGATAGGTTTCTGAGGACCAGAGCAGCTGTCACACGAACTGCTTTTATCAGAGGAGATTCCACTTCATTCTGGAGCCAAAGAAAACCTTCCTTACTCCCTCCTCCTGCTATTTGGTGCGAGGGTAGTTTCCATGGCAACCACACCTGAGCGCATGCGCAGTAGGTACAGCAACTACAGCGTGTGCATGAATATCAGAATCATCATTGTAGAATGTATGTGTATTGTAAAAACATGATGTGTGTATAATATTGAGCCCAACTTAAGCCATTTCCTACAATCAGTACTAACAAATATATAGAGCGAAGGACAGTACGCAGCTACTTGACGTACAACTCAACCACATTACTCTCCTTCAGTGGTACTGTCTTTAGCTTCCCTGTAATGAGAGAGAGATGGGTTAGGTTTAAATGCAGACACTGTGTTTATTGCTATACATGTATGTTCTTGTAAAGGATCCTAAAAACAGAATCACCATGAAAGAAACTAGAACTTTTTTATAGGTTCTGCTGCACTGTATATACATGCAGTTTACCTAACGTATAAATTGGGATCAACATACATAAGTCTGACCTGAGTCAATGTAGGAGTGTTTCTGCAGCAGTTGATGTGTAGACGGCAGCAGGAGACTAGAGGACGACCCTCCTACTCCGCCAGGTAGGAGCTCCAGAACAGACCTCTTCTTCCTCGGGGCGTGAGGCGTACTAGACAACCCTTGGCTACCCGTCTTTCTCTGTGACGACTCTTCCTTTGACCTACTGTCCGTCGCAGTGGTAGGAGGTCTGGGTCGCTTCCCGCTAGCGAGAGCCGCGCCGGGAGAGCGAGGAGGCAGTTTAGGTGGGGTTCCGCGGATTTTTCTTCTCCCTCGCCGCGCCTTCCGGGTCCGAGCGGTAGAGGCGGTGGTTGGTAGATACGCTGTTGAGGTCCTCCGTAGCCGGCGTACTGCCAGGGAATCTTCAGCTGCTGATCCATCTCTGAGTAGTCAGGAGTGGACCGGTCGTTGATACGTGCTGCGCGTTATTTAGAAAATTACCGCGTTTATTTGACTGGTCACTAGCTCCGTGGAGATTCGATTCACTGGGGAGAGAGGAAGCAAATGTAGCGCCCCTCACTATTTCTCTGCTTTGGGTCTCCGCTTGGCTTCGAAAGTCTTTCTAACACCGCTAATCAGCTAGCCTAAAATCATATTTGGCGCTCGGGTTGTTTCAAAATTAGCGCATGCGCATGATAAAAATTGTGATAACACCGTGTGGTATATATTGTAGATGCATGTGTGGAGTGAATTATATTGAGCCCCAACTTGAGCCTTTTTCTTGTTCATATTTGTACTAACAGCCAAACAGTCATCTGCACAGTTCGCGTCACTTTTTAGCAGTCTACTTGACATACAAGTCAACCAGTTCCACGGCTATGTTGTCATGTGTTATGGGGTCAGAGAGACACATTCTCAGCTCGAGGTCATCGCTAGTTTTCTGGTTGAGGGTTTTGGTGAAATATGGAGGATTGTGGAAAGAACAACATGTACTGGTGGAGTGACAGTCTTCACCATCCCAGAGAGTGTCATTGGAGTGGAGTCTGTACCATTCTGCGATGTTGGGAACATACACAAACCCTGACTCACAGAAGTAATCTTCTCCAACAAATGATGGGATTGGTATAATACGACTATTTTCACATGGACAGTTGGCGCCGTTGGGCGTATTCTCAAATGCTCCATTAGCAAATGTCCAGATGTGTTGTCGAGGACTGCCATGCATTACAGCCACACCACAGACATAGGCACTGTCAATTGTAGTTTGTCCATAATAGTTATACCCATAGAAGGCTTCTGGTACTCCATACTGGTAGGCTCTGATCCTGCCACACACCTGACTGTATGGTCCTCCACTGACAGGGAAGAAGACTGAGTCACAAGTCCTATATCCAGTACTAACTCTGCCACAAGTTCTCTTGGAGTATCCAGTGAGCTGCCAGCCAGAGGGACAGTTGGTGTTGGGGTCTGTCATATCCAGGTTGACTGCACGTGTCCAACCCCATGTTTTGTCACATTTTAATCCTCCAGTGTTATTAACGATCTGTTCTGTCAGGCTCTGGTTCATTCTTATCAGTTCAGTAGTGATTTTATTGTCGTGTTCCTCAATCTTGTCACATATCATGTTTGCTGTGCTATTGTGTGTCTGAATATTTTGAAATAGAGTTTTGTTTATTTCTGTCAAACTTGTCGTTACTTCAACCCCTTGTTCGCTAATCTTTTTCATAATTGAGTTGTGAATGTCATCTTTGACATACATCTCGACTAACTCAATGGCAATGGCTCCGCTTGTGTGATAATTGCACATTCTCAGTTCAAGACCATCGGTAGTTGTCTGGTTGAGGGTTTTGGTGAAATATGGAGGATTGTGGAAAGAGCAACATGTACTGGTGGAGTGGCAGTCTTCACCATCCCAGAGAGTGTCATTGGAGTGGAAGCTGTTAGATGGTACACCACTGCCACGTACATACCCAGACTCACAGAAGTAATCTTCTCCAACAAATGGTGGGATGGATATGTGATTACGAGTGGTGTCACATGGACAGACGTGGTCTCTAGAGTATGTTATATAATTCTCAAACCTTCCAGCTGCAAATGTCCAAATATGTTGTCGAGGAATTCCATGCATTACAGCCACACCGTCAAAGTAAAAACTATCAACTGCAGTTTGTCTATGAAAATTATACCCATGAAAAGCTTGGGGCTGTCCATACTGGTAGGCTCTGATCCTGCCACACACCTGACTGTATGGTCCTCCACTGACAGGGAAGAAGACTGAGTCACATGTCCTAGATCCAGTACTAACTCTGCCACAGGTTCTCTTGGAGTATCCAGTCATATTCCAGCCAGAGGGACAGTTGGTGTTGGGGTCTGTCATATCCAGGTAGACTGCACGTCTCCAACCTCCTGTACCTCCACAGTAATATGTGTAACCACTTATTTGTTGTGTTAGATTCTCCTTCATGTCCTTTAAATCAGATTTAATTGCTGTCTCATGTTCCTCAATTTTGTCACACATTGCGTTACTGACACCATTTAACTCAGTCTTGACATCATCGAAATCATCTCTCATTGATTCATTCAGAGCACTCAGTCTAGTGTCAAGTTTCTCAACCTCTTCTGCGACCTTTGGCTGAGGCTTGCTATGTCAGACTTTCATATTCTTCATGTCTTTCTGCATAGTCTCCAAGCTGGTCCTACAACTTCATGCACAGCTGCACAACCTTACAACTGCAGCAAACACATCTTATTGTGATGCCAAGTTTATCTATCCCTTACCATCACATTGAGACTGTCCCAGCTGAACGTTAGACAGTGTCCACTAGACACAAGACCAGCAGAAAAGACCTGTCCATCTTGGAAGGCGTTAAGGCTCCTTGCAATGCATGCACCACTACAGCCAAGCTAACTATTATGTACAAAGATCACCCTCGCTTAAGAGTTACAATAACAGAGGGAAGCTAAAGAACCACATTAGATTGCACTATACAATCATCCCATGCTGATAAAACCACCAGCCGTACCAATCTTGCATAACCACTACAGCCAAGCTAACTATATATGTACAGATAGCTGGCAAAAAGAGTTGAGGTAAGCTAAAGAACACATTAGGTTGCACTATACAATCGTCCCATGCTGATAAAACCACCCTCCATACTAGCTTGCATAACCACTACAGCCAAGCTACATTATATGTACAAAATCACCCTGGCTACAATAACAGAGGGAGCTAAAGAACCACATTTGGTTGCACTATACAATCGTCCCA